TTCTCACAAAGCGCTCACTTGCTCACTGACTCGCTCACTTACTCACTCACTCCCTCACTGACTCACTCACTCACTCACTCCCTCGCTCACTTACTCACTCCCTCACTCACTCACCCCGCTGGCGATGACGACGCCGAGCACGACTCACTGACTGACTGACTGACTGACTGACTGACTGACTGACTGACTGACTGACTGACTGACTGACTGACTGACTGACTGACTGACTGACTGACTGACTGACTGACTGACTGACTGACTGACTGACTGACTGAACGACTGACTGAGAGACTCACCCTGGTGGCGATGACGACGCCGAGCACGACAGGCAGGAGCGCGGCATACGTGAGGGCGGCCTCGCGCTTGAAGGTGAGGAGGTAGGCAAAGGCAGCCGTGAAGAATGGCGTGGTGGCGCCGATGGCCTGGTTGAACCACACCGGGATGAAGCGCACTCACTCACTCACTCACTCCCTCACTCCCTCACTCACTCAGTCACTCACTCAGTCACTCACTCGCTCACTCGCTCACTCACTCACTCACTCACTCCCTCACTCCCTCACTCCCTCACTCACTCGCTCACTCGCTCACTCACTCACTCACTCACTCGCTCCCTCACAGACTCACCCCGGTGGCGATGACAACGCCGAGCACGACGGGCAGGAGCGCGGCATACGTGAGGGCGGCCTCGCGCTTGAAGGTGAGGAGGTAGGCAAAGGCAGCCGTGAAGAATGGCGTGGTGGCGCCGATGGCCTGGTTGAATGAGACTGGGATGAAGCGCACTCACTCACTCCCTCACTACCTCCCTCACTCACTCAGTCAGTCACTCACTCGCTCACTCGCTCACTCGCTCCCTCACTCACTCACTCCCTCACTCCCTCACTCCCTCACTCACTCGCTCACTCGCTCACTCACTCACTCACTCGCTCCCTCACAGACTCACCCCGCTGGCGATGACGACGCCGAGCACGACGGGCAGGAGCGCGGCATACGTGAGGGCGGCCTCGCGCTTGAAGGTGAGGAGGTAGGCAAAGACAGCCGTGAAGAATGGCGTGGTGGCGCCGATGGCCTGGTTGAACGACACCGGGATGAAGCGCACTCACTCACTCACTCACTCACTCACTCCCTCACTCAGTCACTCACTCACTCGCTCACTTGCTCACTCACTCACTCACTCACTCACTCCCTCACTCCCTCACTCCCTCACTCACTTGCTCACTCGCTCACTCACTCACTCCCTCACAGACTCACCCCGCTGGCGATGACGACGCCGAGCACGACGGGCAGGAGTGCGGCATATGTGAGGGCGGCCTCGCGCTTGAAGGTGAGGAGGTAGGCAAAGACAGCCGTGAAGAATGGCGTGGTGGCGCCGATGGCCTGGTTGAACGACACCGGGATGAAGCGCACTCACTCACTCACTCACTCACTCACTCACTCCCTCACTCAGTCACTCACTCACTCGCTCACTTGCTCACTCACTCACTCACTCACTCACTCCCTCACTCCCTCACTCCCTCACTCACTTGCTCACTCGCTCACTCACTCACTCCCTCACAGACTCACCCCGCTGGCGATGACGACGCCGAGCACGACGGGCAGGAGTGCGGCATATGTGAGGGCGGCCTCGCGCTTGAAGGTGAGGAGGTAGGCAAAGACAGCCGTGAAGAATGGCGTGGTGGCGCCGATGGCCTGGTTGAACGACACTGGGATGAAGCGCAGCGATGTGTTGCCGCCCACCACTGAGAAGCAGAACACGGCACTGAGAGCCACGATCCTGAGCAGCTGGGAGGTGGATTTGAGTGGCTAGGAGGCGGGGGGGGGGGGTGGGGGAGAAAAGGAAAGGAGAGGCAAGAGTCAGAATTACGAGGGCAGAAAGAGAGAAACTGGGGGAAGTGAGCGTTGGAGGGTTGGGAATGGCGTGGTGGCGCGGATGGCCTGGTTGAATGACACTGGGATGAAGCGCAGCGACGTGTTGCCGCCCACCACTGAGAAGCAGAACACGGCACTTAAAGCAACGATTCTGAGGAGTTGGGAGGTGGACTTGAGAGGCTGGAAAACGGGATGTGTGAAAGGTTGGGAGGGAGGGATGAATGTGGGGGGGATGGGAGATTCCGGTGTGAGTGTAGGATTGTGGGGCGTTCGAGCTAGGGTGGTACGAAAGGTGTTTTGAGACGTCTCAGAAAACGGGATGCGTGAAAGGTTGGGAGGGAGGGATGAATGTGGGGGAAATGGGAGATTCGGTGTGAGTGTAGGATTGTGGGGCGTTCGAGCTTGGGTGGTACGAAAGCGTTCAGAGGAAATGGAGGGGCAGGGGGGTTGGTTTAAGGGAACGGGGCAAGAGACGCTTTTGGGTCAGTTTCGGGTGGTGTCTTTATAAGCTGGAGTATGGAACAGCAGCACGAATATGGGGCACATAAAGCCCAACTTAGACTGGACACTTAAAGCCCAACTCACACGGGACACTTAAAGCCCAACTCACATACCTGCAGAGGGACGATCTTCATCCACACAATGGCGACGTAGCTGAAGATGAGGCTAGCTGACATGCAATGTTACACGTAACCGGCACTTACCTGTAACACTGCAACCGCGCTTACCTGCAGCGGGACGACCTTCATCCACCACACAATCTGCAGACAGGCTGTGTGGTTACCCTGTTACAGTAACGCTTGGTTACCTGCAGCGGGACGATCTTCATCCACACAATGGCGACGTACCTGAAGAGGGAGCAGGCGGTCATGTGACACATGGTGAGGAAGATGGGGTACTTAAAGCCATAGCTGCTTAGCAGGAATTTATTCAGCAGCAACACTCCGATGTTGCTTGTGTACCACGCCGCTACTATTGACAGGGTAAATAACCCTGAGGTCTTCTTGGTAGATTCCTGCATGGTTGCATCTGGAAGAACACACAATACAATTACAGGAAAGAAGCAGCAGAATACTATATGAGCTCAGGAAAAAAAAAGGTTATCAGTACATAATCACATCATCGCACAGTCACATAGTCACACTCGTGGAGGAGGATAAACAGACGTTTAGTCAATACAACAAAAAAAATGTATCCCCTTCTTAGCATTCCCCCTTTCATTTCTCCTCCGTTTCCCGTTTCGTGACCCCTATTCTATTCTCTCCTTATGGAAGCTCAATATCCCCCCCGTTACCTCATTGTCTCCCTCATTTCCTCCCTACCTGATTGTCCCCTTCCTATCTGAACTGCTCCCCTCCTACTTGCTCGTTTCCCTGTTTAACTGATCGTTTCCTTTCTCCTTTCTTTCTTGATCTAACTACTTGTCACCCCTTCGATCCTCTCTCAGGGAGACAAAAAAGTCCAGGTTACTTCAGAGTGGACTCAAACATCAGCTCCTATCCACTCAGCTGACTTTCCAAACCTCCTCTCGTGTTATATCCTATCCCGTCTCCTTCCCTTCTCCTCTCCCGTCGCCTCTCCCCTCTCCTCTCCCGTCTCCTCTCCCGCCTCCTCTTTCAACAGCCATCCCCGATCCCGGTCCAATTGTGCGAAGAGACAAGATCAAGGCTTCAGCGGGAAGGAGTTTAATGTTGCGAAGGTCAAAGAAAACTCACGCGTTTACAGGACCGCAGCAGTGCTGGGTGGATCTCAGGTGAACAGACCCCTGCTCATGCCACGCGGGGAGAATTCCTAATGTCGGCGCGGGAAAAGGATTTCGGCAGGAATATCACAACAATGAAGAATCGGCAACGCAGAGCATTTCTCGATACCGACGGTCAGGTAAAATCAGGAATTTAGATTCAGCACTTTCCGTGACAAAAACTATGGCTTTTGGTCGACCAACCGTAGCCTTAATTAAAATGGATGATTTGTGGCCTCGGCGATGGCGTAAAACCAACAGGGAAAGGCGAAGAAGCTAAGCCGCGTGAGCGCGTGAAAGTAGTGACGCCATGTAACCACATAAGCTAAAAACGTCGTATTCTTCTTCTAAGGAAAACTTCTTAATAAGCTCGTCATAAGCTAAGATCATTGGCGCCTATTATAGGAAGAGCAGAGGCAAGCTTGCGATCGCACGAGTTGAGCAATTCCCGCCTTGTGAGGGTCGACTTAGTACATAGCCATTAATCATTTACAACTATGTCTATGTTGAGAGAGCTATGCTGGTGAGCGAGTGATGTGATGTTGATCCATGCCTGCCGCCTAGCCAAAAGTAGGAAAGCCAGTGAAGTGAAGGGATGCATTTTGGCAGGGCACGGGTGTGTCATATGGTATGTGGTAGTCCGTTTGTGCTGAGTACCATACCCAACCGATTTCGATTCTTTTTTAAACGCCGTAAAACTCAAAACAACTCCTTTGAGCCATGTTCAGATGAACTGTCAAGACAAGCCACTACCTCGCTTCACATGTAGCCCAGCCGAAAGAAGGAAACTTCCTTAGTAGCCTTCTAGGTGTAGCTTGACTTGCCATAAACTCATACCATACCCATCAAATGGCACACTCAATAATAAACTGTACAACCTCCTTAAAACCAGGGTGCACATTCAACGCGGTTCGGCTTGAGATGTTGGGAAGGGGGTTTGGAGAAAAACAGTGATTGGCTCACGAGGGGCGACAAAAAAATGATTCCGCTAGAGCTTCGGGCATTTCGTAGGTGGCGGGAGGGGGTGAAATGGCAAGTGTGGGTGAAACCGAATGGCGGGAGGGATGAAACAGATTGGCGGGAGGGGGGGGAAACGAAATTGCGGGGGAGGGGGGAAACAAAATTGCGGGGGAGGGGGGAAACGAATTTCGACGGGGAGGGGGAAATGAAATTGCGGGGGCGTGGGGAAACGAAATTGCGGGGGAGGGGGGAAACGAATTTCGACTTGAAGGGGTTGAAAGCACACCTCGTAACCCACTCAGTCAAGGGATAACCTTTGATGCACATTCAGCTGAATGTGCACCCCGGTTTTAAAGATGTGTACATGCCAATAGGCAATTGACTACGGATAGCGTATAATCACGGCATCCATCCATGCCAAGTTGATATTTTTTCATTGAAGCGAAGGTGGTAGTGTAGCAATCATATGCTCAATTTTCTCCACCACCTGTGCGGCCGTCGGGCGTTGCTTCACATCCTGCTGCAGCATCCACTCCACCAGCCTATGGAACGGCGCGGGGTACCCCACCACCTCCCCTCCCGCTCCCCCCGCAGCAGAGAAACCAGAAAAGTCACCTCCAGACGAACCAGGAGCGTCCATTAGAGCAGGGGAGGGAGAGGAGGAGGAGGCGGGGAGGGGCGGGTGGGGCCATTTGATGGTTCCGCTCATAACTGCGAGCTGCAGGCTGCCTCCTGATTCCCCTAGGGAGAACTCGAAAGGGGACTGCCCATACCTGGTTAAGAACAGAGAGATAAAGAGGGGGAGAAATGCGGAGAAATGGAGAGAAAAGGCGAGGGAGTGGAGGAAGGAAGCAAGGGGAGAAAGCGGGATTGGGAAGAAATGGGGAGAAAGGGGGAGAAGAACAGGGAGATGAGAGAGGAGGAAGAGGTGGGAAGGGGCGGGTGGGGCCATTTGATGGTGCCGCTCATAACTGCGAGCTGCAGGCTGCCTCCTGACACGCCCAGGGAGAACTCGAAAGGGGACTGGCCATACCTGGGGTTTGAGAAAGAAGAGAAAAAGAGGCAATGGGAAAAAAAGGGGGGGGGGGGGGGGGGGGGGGTGGGGGAGGGGGAGATAAGGGAGAGGAAGTGGCAGGTAGGTGGGGAGGGGCCGGTGGGGGCCATTTGATGGTTCCATGCATAACTGCAAGCTGCAGGCTGCCTCCTGACTCGGCCAGGGAAAACTCGAAATCGGACTGCCCATACCTGGGGTTCAGAAACGAGAGAAAAGAGTGAGGAAAAAAACAAGGAACAAACTGGGGTTGAGAAGGGAGGGAAGGTAAGAGTGGTTTGGAATGAGAATTATGGTATGTGTGGAGAAAGAGGACGCTCAGGGAGCTGCTCCCCTACGAGAATACACATATTGTCACAATTACCCACAGCCACTGTTGCATAGCTCGTTGTCAACTCTGCCTACAGTCACACTCACATGGTGGCATAGAGGGTGCATTCCAGCGACCACACACCATTCTATGCCTCCTTGCCTCCACTTACAATCACAGTACTGGTATGCTCAACTGCCTACAGTCACACTCACATGGTGGCGTAGAGGGTGCATCCCAGCGACCACACGCCATTCTATGGCACCCTGCCTCGACAGTGCTGCGGCGCTCATTACAGTCACATCGGCCCACAGTCACACTCACATGGTGGCATAGAGAGTGCATCCCAGCGACCACACGTCACTCCTCTCATCGATCTCCATCTCACTCGGGCAGTCCCAAAACTCCGGTGCTCGGTACGCCGCTGAACAGTGCTGCGCCGCCCATTCCTGTGACGGAATCAAAGCCAGCAAGCGAAAGGAATATGGAGAGAAAAAAGCAGGTCAGCTAAGAAATCCGCTGAGCTCTAAACGCGTCTGAACAGTGCTAATTTCCCCCAAAAAAAGGATCTGTTTCAGAGAACAGATTAGATCCAGAGAAGGAAGGGGAGAGAATGCAAAACACAAGACTAGGGCAGACTCATAAGTTAGGATCTCAGCATGTCAGACACATGCTTTTGAAAGACAGGAAAGCATAGAAAAGTAAAAACACTGACCTGCAAGGACAAGGCCTGGTTGCGCGAGGTGATGTGTCTCCTGGCAGGCGTGGTGAAGCCAAAGTCCATAATCACCACCGCAACATCTGATGCCGATGCTGTATACTTCAGTGTACCCACTACATGCATGCTAAGAGGCAGTGAGAGGTAGTGAGAGGTTATGAGCGGCACTGAGAGGAAGTGAGAGGTAGTGAGAGGTAGTGAGAGGTAGTGAGAGGTAGTGAGAGGTAGTGAGAGGTAGTGAGAGGTAGTGAGAGGTAGTGAGAGGTAGTGAGAGGTAGTGAGAGGTTATGAGCGGCACTGAGAGGAAGTGAGAGTCACTCACCTGCAACGACAGGGCTTGGTTGCGAGAGGTGATGTGTCTCCTAGCAGGAGTGGTGGACCCAAAGTCCATAATCGCCACCAAGTGTGGCAGGAAAAACATGCATCCCATTCATACGCACCTGCAAGGACAGCGCCTGGTTGCGAGAGGTGATAAGCAGTGAGAGCCCTCACTTACCTGCAACGGCAGGGCTTGGTTGCGAGAGGTGATGTGCCTCCTGGCAGGCGTGGTGGAGCCGAAGTCCATACTCGCCACCGGCACATCCCATGTGGTGAGAAGCGGTGAGAAGAGGTGATAGGCAGTGAGAGCCCTCACTTACCTGCAACGACAGGGCTTGGTTGCGAGAGGTGATGTGCCTCCTGGCAGGCGTGGTGGAGCCGAAGTCCATAATCGCCACGGCAACATCCGATGCCGATGCCGTTGGTAACCGCTCCAACGGCACTCCCTCCCCTGCTCCCTCCCCTGCTCTCTCCCCTGCTCCCTCGCCTCCTGCTGCTCCTCCTACTACTCCTGCTGCTTCTCCCCCCCCGTTCCGCCCACCTTGGTTAGCCTTTCCCGCTTCTCCTCCCGCAGCAGCACCATCAGCAGCAGCAGAGGGAAATGCAGGAAAGGCACCACCGCCACCACTACCACCGGCACCAGGAGAACCACCACCAGCACTACTGCCTATACCCGATACAAAAGCATCATCCCTCTCTGCTACACCTGTCATGCAGATACCATCCCCACCACCTTTACCTATCCCCCCTGTGGCCCCGTGCCCTCCCCCAAAGGCTATGAGAATGTTCCCTGGCTTGACGTCGTTGTGGGCTAGAGGGGGCGAACATGCATGCATGTGTGCAAGGCCGGAGGCAACCTGAGAAGAAAGGGAGGGGAAAGGGGAAGGAGAGGGGAAAAAGAGCTAGGCTATGAGGACGCTTCCTGGCTTGACGTCGTTGTGGGCTAGAGGGGGCGAGCATGCATGCATGTGTGCAAGGCCACATGCAACCTGGGAAGAAACGAAGGGGAAAGATTGGGAAGTGGGGAGGGGTATATGCCATTGTGTGCACACATAGCGCACTCCCTGTGACTCTGTGCCCACCAAATGCTATGACCAATGTATGCATGCAAAGACGTGACTGTGAGCATTTGCCACAGTGGGGCATGTGTGTGTGTAATATACAGTCGGCCATCGCCGTAAAGCACGCGTAAACGTAGCAAGACGATGAAGCATGCGTAAACGTAGCAAGACGATGAAGCATGTGTAAACGTAGCAAGACGATGAAGCATGCGTAAACGTAGCAAGACGATGAAGCATGCGTAAACGTAGCAAGACGATGAAGCATGCGTAAACGTATCAAGACGATGAAGCATGCGTAAACGTAACAAGACGATGAAGCATGCGTAAACGTATCAAGACGATGAAGCATGCGTAAACGTAGCAAGACGATGAAGCATGCGTAAACGTAGCAAGACGATGAAGCATGCGTAAACGTAGCAAGACGATGAAGCATGCATAAACGTAGCAAGACGATGAAGCATGCGTAAACGTAGCAAGACGATGAAGCATGCGTAAACGTAGCAGGACGATGAAGCATGCGTAAACGTAGCAAGACGATGAAGCATGCGTAAACGTAGCAAGACGATGAAGCATGCGTAAACGTAGCAAGACGATGAAGCATGCGTAAACGTAGCAAGACGATGAAGCATGCGTAAACGTATCAAGACGATGAAGCATGCGTAAACGTAGCAAGACGATGAAGCATGCGTAAACGTAGAAAGACGATGAAGCATGCGTAAACGTAGCAAGACGATGAAGCATGCGTAAACGTAGCAAGACAATGAAGCATGCGTAAACGTAGCAAGATGATGAAGCATGCGTAAACGTAGCAAGACGATGAAGCATGCGTAAACGTAGAAAGACGATGAAGCATGCGTAAACGTAGCAAGACGATGAAGCATGCGTAAACGTAGCAAGACAATGAAGCATGCGTAAACGTAGCAAGATGATGAAGCATGCGTAAACGTAGCAAGACGATGAAGGATGCGTAAACGTAGCAAGACGATGAAGCACGCGTAAACGTAGCAAGACGATGAAGCATGCGTAAACGTAGCAAGATGATGAAGCATGCGCAAACGTAGCAAGATGATGAAGCATGCGTAAACGTAGCAAGACGATGAAGCATGCGTAAACGTAGCAAGACGATGAAGCATGCGTAAACGTAGCAAGACGATGAAGCATGCGTAAACGTAGCAAGACAATGAAGCATGCGTAAACGTAGCAAGACGATGAAGCATGCGTAAACGTATCAAGACGATGAAGCATGCGTAAACGTAGCAAGACGATGAAGCATGCGTAAACGTAGAAAGACGATGAAGCATGCGTAAACGTAGCAAGACGATGAAGCATGCGTAAACGTAGCAAGACAATGAAGCATGCGTAAACGTAGCAAGATGATGAAGCATGCGTAAACGTAGCAAGATGATGAAGCATGCGTAAACGTAGCAAGACGATGAAGGATGCGTAAACGTAGCAAGACGATGAAGCATGCGTAAACGTAGCAAGACGATGAAGCATGCGTAAACGTAGCAAGATGATGAAGCATGCGTAAACGTAGCAAGACGATGAAGCATGCGTAAACGTAGCAAGACGATGAAGCATGCGTAAACGTAGCAAGACGATGAAGCATGCGTAAACGTAGCAAGACGATGAAGCATGCGTAAACGTAGCAAGACGATGAAGCATGTATAAACGTAGCAAGACGATGAAGCATGCATAACTGCTAGTGTGGGGCATTCGAGAGAAAAGCAAACAGAACCAATACCTGGCTGATAATGGAGAGCACTTGAAGCGGTGAGAAGCGGTGGCCTCTACCGGGCTGCGACCCCTTGGGCTTTTAAGTCGACTCAATAATGAAGCGTCCATTACCTGGTTGATAATGGTGAGCACTTGAAGCGGTGAGAAGCGGTGGCATCCATTACCTGGCTGATAATGGAGAGCACTTGAAGCGGTGAGAAGCGGTGGCCTCTACCAGGCTGCGACCCCTTGGGCTTTTAAGTCGACTCAATAATGAAGCGTCCATTACCTGGTTGATAATGGTGAGCACTTGAAGCGGTGAGAAGCGGTGGCATCCATTACCTGGCTGATAATGGAGAGCACTTGAAGTGGTGAGAAGCGGTGGCCTCTAACGGGCTGCGACCCCTTGGGCTGAGCCATCCACCCGACATGGTCTTGAATGGTGCCGTCCCTGTAGACTGGGAAGACGAGATATGCCTCCTTGGTGCCCTGCTGCTGCTGCAATGGGGTTAGGGCAACAAGAGGGATTGCGAGAAGTGGTCCGAAGTGGTGAGAAGCGGTGGCCTCTACAAGAGGAAAGTTGCGACCCCTTGGGCTGAGCCATCCACCCGACATGGTCGTGAGTGGTGCCGTCCCGGTAGACTGGAAAGACGAGATATGCCTCCTTGGTGCCCTGCTGCTGCTGCATGCGGTTAAAACGACAAGTGGGATGGTGAGAAGCGGTGAGAACCGGTGTTAAGTGGTGGCCTCTACCAGATGAGGGCTGTGACCCCTTGGGCTGAGCCATCCACCCGACATGGTCGTGAATGGTGCCGTCCCGGTAGACTGGGAAGACCAGGTACGCCTCCTTGGTGCCCTGCTGCTGCTGCAGGATTGAAGGGAGTGGAATAATGAGGGACGGGGGGTGTGGGGGGTGGGAGGGAGAGAAAGAGAGGATAGAAAGTGGGGAGGCAGGAAAGGAAAAGGAGGTCAATCAGGTTGGGGAATCACGCTAGAGAGTTAACGTGGTAAGGCAGAGAGGTAAAGGAACCCAGGAATTACCTTGGATGACACTATGGCGTGTTCCACTAAATGAAGCACGCTGGGAAACGAAATTGGGAGTTGACATGGCAAATCAGGAAGGGAGAGGAAATCAGGAGTTACCTTGGATGAAACTATAGCATGCTCCACTAAAGGGAGCAAGCTGGGGTGATCGAGTTTTGATGCGACGTCGATTTCGGCCTTCACCAGCAGCAGCTGCTCCTTGGTCTGTATCAGAAACTTCTTTAACGCGTATGTGTTGTCAGCTGGAGGAGAGAGGGGGATAGAGAAAATAAGCAGAGCAACTATTTTGTCTGTATCAGAACTTATATAACGCGTATGTTTTGTGAGGTGGACGAAGGATGGAGTGGGGGACACAAAGGGAGACAAGATTGTGGGAAATGAAGGTGGGAAGGTGGATCATGTAAAAGGTTTATAGCGAGGATAAGCCTCGTTAAGCGCATAATTAGTTACAGGGGTCTTACGAGAGACGTATTTCCGTTTCGGTTTGGCTGGAACAGCTGGATTGACGTCCGTATCATCCGCTGATCCTGCATTTTCCTCTGACTTTCGGGGTTCTGCAGCCTTGTCATCACCGCTAGTCTCCACGTCAGCAGCTGGATCCGACAATGCATCTGCACCATCGACGGCGCTGCTGCGGCTGCTACCGGTTTCGCGAGCTAGGTAAACGAAAGCGTAACCACCTTCGCCAAGGTTCTGCACGATGCGAAACCGTCGCCCGTTCACCTTCACCTCCTCGCCACTACTCACAGCATCATAAATCGCCGCCAAACCAGACCACGTGCAACCCATTAGGTTTTTAATATCCTTTAATTCCCTAATATCCTTCAAATCTTTCACGTTGCTGCTGTTCCGGGCAGCCCCGTGACGAAAAGTTTCGACCAGGTGATCGACGTTCTGCGTCACTTGTTTCACGCGTTCGCTTTCAAAAACGTTATCAACAAGTTTCTCTACGTTCTGTTTCACGCCTTGGCTACCTGCGAACACGCTCTCGTACAAACGGGACAAGCCCTCGCCCACACCGTGAGCCTGGGTCGGAGGCTCCGCAGAACCACCCTGGACCCCTCTAGAACCGCTCTGGACCCCTTCAGATTCGCCTTGACCCCTGGCGAATACGCTGTCGTACCAACGGGAGAGTCCTTGAGAGTTCATGTGACGAGGCTCATGCTCGCCGCGAAAATCGGGAAAAAACCTGGCGATTTTATTGTTCTGGCGGAACCTAAAATAAAGCTTGAAGCCAAGACGCTAAGGCTAGTACCAGATATGCTACATAAGGTAATAAGCTATTGCAGCAGAGTCAACAGTCACTAAAGCAAGTCTGGCTGTTGTGAGGAATGCCGCCTGTCCCGAGGGACTAGATCCTCCAGGGACCAATCTCCCAAACGAATGTCACGTGGTTTTGTTACAGAGATCCAACGGCAGCGAATAACCTAACGGGATGTTCCCAAGGTGGGGCTTTGGTGATGGTTTGCCCAGCCGTGATTCGCTGGTCTTGCTGGACATTTGTAGGTCGCAATTGTACGCGGTTATGCCATTCGTTCGATATTGTTACGGGTGCAATGAATCGAAGTAGCGAGAATTGCACTAAGGTGTCAAATGAGTACAAAAATGTGAGCGAAGGCATGAGCGAACATTTATACGCGAAACATGCAAACGGTAACGCGGTGCGTGCGAGCTAGCTAGTGCTATGCTGGAAGCGAGGTTCGGGCTAGTCCCGAAGCGTAGGCCGATACGGCCAGGCCAGCAGTGCGAGGTTTGGTGAAACAGTGCGCGCGAAGTCGGCGAAGCCCCGTTAGCAGTAACGGGCGAACGACGGCTCCTGCTGTACGCGATGTTGCAGGGCGCGCTAAGGAATACCGAGAAAATTCCTTACACTACCCCCCCCCCCCCCTCAAGAAGCCCCCTCCGCTACGCGAGTGCGTGTATATCACGAAAACCCCGGCTCCTCAGGTACACTTGCAGGGCAGGGTGGTTTTCGATGTTGGCCAGGGGCACCCAGCTATCTTCAGTTGGCGTGCGGTCCTTCCAGCGAACGAGGAATTCAATCCTCCTGATTCCTGTGGGGTGTCGAATCCGATGGCTCATGGTTCTTTCGAGCTCGATGATCGGCTCCGATGCAGGGCGAGTCATGGATGGCGGGCGGTAACGAGGTAGTTGGCTTGTGGTTGGGATGTATGGGCGAAGCAGGCTGACGTGGAACGAAGGGCTGACGTATCAGTCCGTCGGCAACAGTAGGTGAGCTGTCACTGGGGTAATCATGTGGCTGATTTGGAATGGTCCACAGTAGCGGGGTCGTAATTTCAGTACGACGGGCAGTCTTAAGTTTTGCGTGTCGAGCAGTACGTAATCTCCTGACTGGTAAATGACTTGGAGGCGATGGCGGTCAGCGTTGCGCTTAGCGATGACGTTGGCTTTTTTAATTGCTTCTGCGGCTCTGGTGCGGGCAGCTTGCATAATTTCGGCGAATTGCTGTGCACGTGGCGTTGGGTTGTCCGGACTCGGCGTCATGGGCACTGTAGGGTTTTGCCCGTAGTTCAGGTAGAACGGGGACTGCTGCGTCGTCGCTGACGTGGCGTTGTTATACGCGAACTCGATCAGCGGCAGCTGCTGCTCCCAAGTGGTTGGGTCGTCGCACGTGGCACGAATCAACTGCTCCATCGTCTGATTCGTCCGCTCCGTTTGACCGTCGGTCTCGGGGTGGTACGACGAGCTGAACTGTAGCCTTGTCCCGAACTGCTCCCAGAGGTTTTTCCAGAAGTTGCTGGTGAACTTCGTATCGCGGTCGCTGATTATCGCGGCTGGTATCCCGTGCAGTCTAACGACGGCTGCGATGAACAGGCGAGCGGTTTCTTCGGCTGAGATCGATTTCTTGCACGCAGCGAAGTGTGCCATCTTCGTCAACCTGTCAACGACGACCATAACTACGTCGTTACCCCCAGGGTTCGAAGGTAACCCTGTGACGAAATCCATGGTAACCTGCTGCCAGGCGCGCTCAGGCGGTGGAATCGGCTGCAACGGACCCGCCTTTCTTTTTCGCGAGCTCTTCATCACCTGACACGTAGGACATGAGCCCACGTGGTGCTGCACGTCGGTCAACAGCTCCGGCCAGTAGTAATACCGCTGCAGCTGCTGTCACGTTTTTTCTACCCCGAAATGTCCCGAGGTAATCTTGTCGTGTGCCTCCTGCAGTAACAGTTCCCTCAGTAGTGAGTACGCGGGTACCCAGATGCGATTGGTGCCTGTTTTTACGTAATAGACTCCTCTAGCCTCTGCCAGTTGCTGTGAATTTCCGGTCGTTAAAAATGGGTCGGTACTGTATCCGTGGGTGAATAAGCCTGTTAACAATGGGTTGGTTTGGGCGAGTAGGATAGCGTAGAGTTGGGCGGTGGGGCGTGTGAGTGCGTCGGCGATGTTGGATGCGCCTTTTTTGTACGTGACCGTGTAGTGGAAGTTGGACTCTAGATAGTCCAACCAGCGGATCTGTCGTGGGTTGAGATTCGGTTGGGCGCGAAGGTATTGTAGGGATCGGTGGTCTGTCCGTACTGTCACGTCTGCTCCCGTGATGTAACATCGCCACACCTTGAACGCGTGCACGATCGCCAACATTTCACGGTCGTGTATCGGATAGTTGCGTTCGGGCGGGTGAAGCTTGCGGGACTCATACGCGATTGGCTGAAGGCCGTTCCCGAAGTCCTGCAACAGTACTGCTCCCACAGCGATGTCGCTAGCGTCGGTGACGAGCTCGAACGGACGGTGCGGATCTGCGATGTGAAGTACGGGCGGTGAGCACAAAATATTTCTGAGGGCCGAGAAGGCAACTTGCTCTTTCTCCCCCCACGTGTACTCAACCCCCTTCCTCAGCAGGTCGGTCAACGGGGCAGTCAGCTTCGCCATGTCGGGGACGAACCGGCGCACGTAGTTGACGAACCCCAAAAAACTCTGCAGCTCGGTCAAGTTGGTCGGCGCGTGCCATGCTTGAATCGTCGCAATTTTTTTCGGGTATATTTCCACTCCTGCAGCTGAAATAATGTGTCCCAAAAACTCCAGTCGGTTTTGTAAAAACTCACACTTAGATGCTTTTGTCAATTGGCGGTTCTCACACAGTATCTTAAAAACTGCTTCGATGTCCTGTAAGTGCTGTGCTCCATCGGGGTTGTAAATCAGTATGTCGTCAAGGTACACAATGACGCACATATCTAAAAGCGGGCGGAAAGCTTCGTTCATGGTCATTTGAAAGGTGGCGGGGGCGTTGGTCAGTCCGAAGGGCATGACGGTGTATTCGAAGGATCCGTAACGTGTTCGGAAGGCTGTCTTAGGGCAGTCGGGTGGTTTGACACGAATCTGGTGGTAACCTCCCCGAAGGTCAATGTTCGAGAAAACCCGGGCTGTGCGCAGTTGGTCGATCAGTTCGTCGGCTCGCGGGATGGGGTAACGGGATTTGATGGTAACCCTGTTCAGTGCTCTGTAATCTATGCACATGCGAAATCCCCCGTCTTTTTTCGGTGTGAACAGTATCGGTGCTGCGAAGGGCGACGAACTAGGGCGAATGAACTCCTTCTCGAGCAGGTAATCCAGCTGCTTCCTCAGTTCGTCCAGTTCGGGTTGGGTCAGTCGGAACTGTCGCTGTACTGTCGGCTGTGCCCCCGGTTCTAGTTCTATCCTGTGGTCGTGCGGTCGCTGAGGTGGCAGTCCCGTCGGTAGGTCGTCCGGGAAGATGTCACTGTACTGCTTCAACAGTGCTGCCAGATTATCCGGTACGTCGGCTAGCAGTTTCTGTAAATCCCCCCTTTTGTCTGCTGCCTCGGCTTCCCGAATGTCAACCGCATACACGTGAGCTCCTGCCGCTACGGCGCGTTTCATCGTGATCGCGTTGACACGCACCGACGAAGACTCAGGCGAGCCCCAGCGAGGTAAGGCGATGTTGTTACCGTTCACTCGCACAGCGCAGTCCCCCGTCGTCCAGTCGATTCGCGGGTTGTGTCGTCGCAGCCAATCACGCCCGAGTAAAATATCGGTTCCGTCGAGGGTCGTCGCGAGCATTTCCTGGCTAAACTTGAAGTTACCCGCGCATCAAATCCGAACTCGGTCCACACGTTCCCGTATCGCCAGTGGCGTGTCGTCGACCAGTCTTGCGTCGATCTTAGGTAAGCATCTGTCCAGTGGCAGTCGCAGTTTTCGTGCTGTGGCAGTGTTGATAAGACTGTGGCTGGCCCCTCCGTCTACGAAGATTTTAACTAAGTCCGTC